AAGCCGTTTACCACCTAAATTGGTAATTTTATTTCTATAACCAGAAAGTAATGCGGAAATCCATCACCAAATTTAGAAATTATGTATGTAGATTATTAGCCGGTTAACATGGTAACCGTTAGAGTTGTTCTTAATAAATGATTGTCACCATATCTGTAATTCCATAATTAGTTTTCATAGTTTCTATAATTAACTTTAATATTTGCCAATATTATCTCTGCAATTATTTGAGCTCTTTAAGTCAAATGTGATATTAATGCATAGTTATATAGATGCTGCCCAAATTAAAAATCAATCCCAAATTACTTTGTACATCCCAAATGTTGATCAATCTTTCTGCCCGCTTTCCTAACCAATAAGAATACGGTGTAACAAAATGGTTGCTGATCACTTTCACAAATCCTAGGCACTTATTGGTTGGGAGATAGAATGCCATGGGTGTACAAAGTAGTTGGGATTTGGATTTCTTTGACAGGCTGGCCCAAATTCACTCTGTACATTTGGGATGCCATAATCGCAAATGATTTGGGGATTGGACAGCATGTATACATAGTTATTTTATGTTCATTCATATAACGAATACTGAAAATCTGTAATTACTGCCATAATCACTTTTCCCCCAAAAACAATTATGGAAATCAACTATATTTTCCATAGCTCCAGAATTTCAGGGTAAATTAATATTGCTCTGGCAATTGACTGTGATTTCCAACCAGTCTTAGACTTGACTTGCATTTCCTATTGTGTCTTCAAACAAAATTGTTGGTCTTGGAGGGAAAGGTGCAAAGTATACATGCAGCCCAAATTGGTTTGGTGATTTCGATGGTCAAAATTATTCCAGTTTTGATGGTAGAAAGTAGAAATTAATTATGGCACTCACTATTAAAAACATAAGTGTAACACTCCTTTATGACAGTGTCAAAATGCATTGAGTGCAAAGATTTTATTAAGTGTAAGATCCATGATTCCTTCAAGGTTTCCTTTTGATTTTTTTGGTGCCAACCCTATTAAGGTTTCTGGCCGAAAATCTCTTTATTAGTAGCTGAAATTGCTGAAACATTTTGGGCAAAAATTACTTTTGTTATTAGCTGAAATTGGGCGAAATTACTTCAAAGTTGTTAAAATAAGTTGATTGGTATAATTTTTTAATGTTCTTGTTTATAAAAAATACTAAGAAGCCCAAATTGCCCAAACTAGTTTGGGCTTTGAGAAAGCAGTTTGGACTGGAAACCTTAAACCTATAATAAAAAAATGGGACGATCATTTCCTTTTAAGGGAAGATCGAAGCCCATGAATTCCTAAATATTGTTGTATAACTTTGGACGCGTTTTGGTTTGCATTACTGGCGTTATTATTTATACTATTTCCAATAGCGGAATTAATAACAACATTATTGTTATCAACGTTATGGATGTTGTTATTATTGATGTTAATAATATTGTTATTATTGATAGTGATACTGACGTCATTTCTAAATTTTAGTTCAATCAAGGTATCATCTGTTTTCCCGAACTTTAAAAGAAACCGTTGCGCAAGATATCTAGATAAAATCACTTTTTCTTCTGTGATGAGAAAAATGACAAGCTCCATCGAGATAAAATTCTCACCAAGTCGGATTGCGTGGAATAAGGCATTTGCCTTTCCATAATTTTGAATAACCCACTTTGCTCGAATTCTTGATTTGTACGACATTCCGTACCATTTTTTATCGAGTAAAATTAGGGAAAGAGGTTTAAGTGTGAGTATGAAAATAATTTCTTTTATCGCATCTGGTAATAAAGCCATGATTTGCTTATTTTAACATTTTCTTTTTTTTTTTTTTCGAAGCATCGTTGTGCCTTGAATCATTTATTATTATATATAGATTTTTTTTAATATATTTAATTTATTTTTATAAATGACGATTCTCGGAATTATTTTTTTTCTTTCATGAGTTACCATTTAGGTTTTTGTTTAACATTGTACAACACAAGATAAAAATATCAAACAACTCAGTAACTCAAAACGCCGAATATATAGTATATTAAATTTACGAGATTTAGAGAAAACAATATGTCTGTTGCTGAAAAATTTATTTTAATACACAAAAAAAAAATCAAAAATAAAATATAATAATATTAAACCTTCGAGTTTTCATTCTATTGTTTTTCTATTTAGTCTTAATTAATTTTATCACAATTCAAAACATATTTGTCTACAATGATAATAGTAAATGGAATCCGGTTCATTAAAGACAACCGATGGGAATTCATGAGTGTAACTTTACATAGTTGAAGTATTCTCTTCAATGATAACTATAAAAGATTATTTTTTATCTTTCTAATTGAAAAAAATTTTTTTTTGATACTAACAGCACAGCTTTTATTATGAAACTCTTTATTTTTACGGCACAACCCTTATTTGGAATAATAAGGGGTTTTATTTATATTATTTTTATGTTCTACCCTGCCAATAAAAATAATCATAAAATTTAAAGGTTAAATATTTTTAAGAAGGCTAATTTTCGCTCTGTTTGTTCATTAAAAACATGATAACGATAATGATAACTATTCTTGAAATAAACCATAAATTAAATATTTAATTTAAAATTATATTAGCTTCGTGTTCTTTAAACACGTTATGATTAATTCTTAGGACTTGGCCTTCTTCAATTAATTATAAATCGCCAATTTCCAAGTAAAAATATAGGTCAATGAATTTGTAATCTCTCATAATCATTGGTTTCATTCTTTAATAATACCAGCACAAATTTCTTTCTTCCAATTAAAATATTTATTAGTTACACATTTCTATACAAGTATTTCAAAGTCTTATTCATTTGTCTCATTGATTGATAAGATTAATGGTTCATTTTTTATTGGAAAGCATTAAAAATCATATCAGTCTGGATTTTTATTATAATTATACTCTATGATAATTTAAAATGACACATGAACCATTTTTATCATTCTAAGAAATTTTATTTCTAATTTAAGGATGTTGTACACTTTTTGAAAATATATATTTGACCTTTGATCATAATAGAAAAGTTGTTTCGCGAAAAGTTACGGAATTACTTAGAACCAACCATTTTTCAATTATTTGTACATATTATTTATTAATAATAAACAACAATAAAAAGTTTTTATTTATTTTATGAATCCTTCTATACTTTTTATTGTGTCAAGATAATCTATTACATACATTACTTGCACCTAATGCGGGATATAGATCTCCGGGTATCGGTCGGGTAACTAAACTGGTAGATCAAGTTCTATTTTTATTCCTACAAATTTTAATTTTTAGTTACTAATATTTAAAAAACGCCGAATACATATAATATTCTAATTAACGAATCTAATTAAGATTTACTCTTGCCATTTTTCATGCTTGTCATTCATCGATTTCTTTTTGAAGTCAATAAAGCCAATATTTATTGCGTTCAATAATTCTAAATTTAATCAACGTTGTCATTTTTTCAAGCATTTTTATTGTCCAATATAAGAAATCTATTTTAGCTACTAGCTCATTATTGGAAGGGGTGTTTATGTGTGAGTTGAAATCTGGAAATTAAATTATTTTAAAACTTTGTTTAAAGCGTATTAACAAATTTTTTACATTACGAAAATATAAAAAAAAAATCTCTGATCCTTTCATTTACGATTATTGAAATTAATGAAAATGTCACCAATAACAGAAATTATGAATCAATAATGAATCGCCGTCAGCATATTTACTTTGTATGATGTATATTATCTGTCTGATGATCAAAATATTCATGTCATTAATTTTATTATGTCGCGTATCATCACAGTTTTGGAAATTATTTAGAATAGAAACAATAAATTGAGACGTAGAATAATTATAATTATAATAACAAAAGGTCAAGAAATTTGACCATAAAAATAACCACAGAAAATTTTTGTAATAAGATGTTTATTTTCTAAAATTAAACCAGTTTGTATGTTACATTGCATATTAATTTAATTTTACACATAACGAATATGTAAAATTCACCCAACAGTAATCAACTACCATCATCGTCATCGTAATCTTCTTTATAGAGTAAGTTTCGAATATTTTTCTTTGTTGAAATGCCAAAAACGTTCTACTTAAAAATAAGTGGAGCAAAACAAAATTGAATAACAAAGACTATTTTCGAAGAAAATGTAAAATTCGCCACAAATAATTCGAATAAAATAATTTCCCTATTGCAGGTGCACAAAATTTGTTTTCACGTGCCTCACAACCTTTTTTGTGCTTTTCACATGACCACAAAATTTTCAAGGCATTTGTTTTTGAAAAAAATCTATATATTAATAATACATTAAGACTTGATTTAATTTGATTGATGAATAAAAATTATATCGGGCATCCTCAAAAATTAAATCTACCATTATAAATTAAATAATCTAAATAACTATTGACTACATGATTTCTATAAGCAAGTATTACCTGTTTTAATATTGTATATAACTAGCAATTCTTTGTAGCATGAATAATAAATATAATTAATTTTTAAAATAAGTTTTTTATTTTGATCTTTCAACGGCTTTCAAAATACTGTCAACCCCCTAAATGCATGCGCTTCTCATTCCCATCCTAATGATGAGCCTACAATCCCTCAAATGCATGCTTATGAGTGATAATGATATGTTCCAAGGTGGTGGTGCACTTAGAAGAGGTGACTGTGTCATTATAAAATATCGAGGGCGGCCATTAAGTAAACACGGGCGGGATAACTTGTTTATGAAACGGGAAATAATTGGTCATTAAATACTAGGAAAAATCTGCCAAAGTCAAATTTGGTGGTGACTTGTTGAACAAAATAAGGTTTATCGGCCAAATTTATTATTATTATAAATTAACGGTGGAACAAAAATATAACGGAAAATTTTTGCAGATCACATATTTCATTGGTATTGGGACAACACATACATAAAAAAATTCATTATAAATATACTTTATAGTAATTTCTTTGATCGCAATTAAGTTGATTTTTTTCTCTTCTATTCTTTAATATGGAACACCTCCCAACAGAATTAATTATAGGAATATTCAAGTATATTAAAACTCCTATTTCGCTTATCCTTGTTAACAAAGAAATTTGTCAAGTTTGCACCAGTCCTATAGCAAAATCAACTTGGGCTTTGACTAATTTTGGAAAAAGTCACGTGTTATTCTTTTCCATTTTACTAGGGAAAACTTTTATTACAGTTGATGTTGTAAAATCTTTATTAGCATTAAAAGCAAATCTATCCAGATATTTTATTCAAAGATTATTATTACAATACAGCCAACGCAATCAAGATTTGTTAAAATTACAAGATAATAATTATTATTTTCAAGAGATGGACCGAGAAAAATTTAAAGCCTATCAAAATAATATAAAGACTCCATGGTCATCTGAAATATCGTCTGATGTATTTGTTGCTTTATTAAACGAAGCCGAAGCAAGATTTGGTCCAAATTTTCCTCTAAAAGGGAATGATATTGAAAAGTTTCATTTTTTAAGTTCTGGACAACTGCCCATTGATAAAGCGTCTCGAATAATTAAAGTAAACTTGGAAGAGATTCATGATCTTATTGTCAATAAAAAGTTTACACCATTTCCTCCGAGACCAAAAATTAATACAAACGAATATTTCAGAACAATGCAAATAATTAATCGTGAGGAATTTCCAGCAAAAGATGGTTATGAGAACAATCGGCAACTTCATATTATTGCAAGAGCAATTTTATTAGAGCCTACTATTGTTGACATGTGGAAAGAGATAGGCTACCATGACATTTGCAGAGATGTTAATGATTTCGTTATTCAAGGATGCATCCTAATACTTTTCCCGTTAAATACTCCTGCTGGCTTGTATGATCCAAGCAAAAAAACAGTTGTAAATCAATTGTATGGATTCATTGAAATTGGATTCAAATTGACAAAAGTTGCAATGGTTAACATTTTATGTTTTTGTGAAAATCGACTTGATATAATTGGTGATTCCATTTTGATGGATTCCTTTTGCGAGGTTAGAAATGAACCAAAATCTGTCGTAATTCAAAAATGTTTAACTGAAATTACTCAAGCTGACAGAGTAGTAAATAATAAAACTTGTTCTTTTTTGATACTTTTACGTATATTATACACATAAAATTTACTTGTATGCAAGAATCACATCATTATTTGACACAAATATATACACATTAAATTATCAAAGATGTACTTTATTATCAATTAATAATATCATTAATTAATGTGCAAGAGCAATATACATTATTTAATATAGTATTATTTGATAAATAGAATTATGAATTATTCAACTATTCATTATCCTCAACACTTGAACTTTATGGTTCCTGTTCAATATCAGAATCATTTCATTTCATCAGGATACTGTAAATTTAGTTCATAAAATTAGAAATTAATCTAAAATAACCTTCAATAAAATTACATTGATGAATAGCAAATCTTACCAATATTTTATTTATTTTTTCTCTGATAAACTTATCACCTTCTTTACACCATCATGATGTTCGTCCAAAACACCAATACATACTGCACATGTGTATGCAACTTTTTCGCTAATAATTTCGTCCTTTTTCCAGACTTTTCTTAAGATTGTTTCAAAATAAGTTTCATCGTCTTTTAGACATCCTTCATAGTAGTGATGTTAGCCGGTAGAAAAACCTTAGCCGGCTAAGCCGGCTAATAATCTGCATACATAATTTCTAAATTTGGTAATAGATTTCCGCGTTATCTTCTGGTTATGGAAATAAAATTACCAATTTAGGTAATAAACGGCTTAGCCGGCTCAAGAACTTGAATAAATTTTTTATCTAATAATTTAGTAGACAAATAACATACTAATACTTTGTATGAATTCATTAAAAATCGGGGTTTTTTATTATTTTACTAAATGTTGTGCGTGAAATTTAAATTGGCCAATTAGAATTTTGTTTCCAAAAATTTTTAGTATTAATATAGAAATTCATTTTCACGCTGATGAATATGGTAAAAAATTCTAGCCAGCTAACATTTGATCAAATGAATTATTTATTCTATTCTTATTGAAAAATTCAATTAAAACATAATAAAAAATTAATTAATATAAAAATTAAAAAAATTAATCAACTTATTGATCAAAAAGTTTATAATTTTCTCTCAAAAACAGTATATTAATATTATTATTACTACAAATACTATTGCTATTTAACTTATCATAATCAAATGTTTCATTATTATTAATACTATTATTATCATTACTACTATTATTATCATTGCTGCGATTATTACTACTACTGCTACTAATACAATTATTAATATTGCTACTACCACTACTAATACTATTAATATTACTACTGCTATTTAACCCATTGTTAATATTGTTATGCAATGACCCACCAGACCAAGAATTTGCTTTGCTACGAGTGTTGGAACTAATTAATTGCTTATTTTGTGCATTAGTTTTCTTTTCCTTTTTTGGCGGCATTACGAATGAATGAATATTTTTTATTATTTTTGAGAATGGAATTTGATTGGCTCAAGCCGGCTAAGCCGTTTAAAAATTTCTTAGCCGGCTAACATCACTACTTCATAGATGTATTGGTATTTATTGGTGTTATACCATACTTCTTAAAACTTTAAATAGGCTATCTTTTATTAGAGAAGGATGTGTCCTCTAAATTTCCTTGCTTGACCATGTGCCTAAATAAATTAGTTGTTATTTTATTTCAATGCATTAAAGTAAGCAAAAAAATAATTTTATTTTAACTTACATATGAATATATTTTTTCAAGCCATAAAGGCATCTGTTTTTCATTTTTTAAAAATATTCATAATTATGCGCTTTTAGCACATTTCTAGACACATCCATTAATTCATCTTCAGTCTGGTAAATTTTATTTTTCATAAATTGTTTGATACAAAGATTTATAGGACTTTATAAATTATGCAGAATATTAAACATTGCCATAAATTAAATGCACAAATTTACAAATGGTAATTACCTTCCACCAAGATGTTGCTGTTACAAGGGGGAGGGTCTGGGACAGATTGCAATTTTGGATAGTAATTTTATATCATTTATATCACAAAGTTGATATCATTAGGTATACTGCATAGAAATGTGGTATGTTTCATGTTTCAGGATCCAATAACCCACCATAGTATATACCTAAAATAAAAGTAGTTAACAGTGGACATGAAATTGAAATAAAGGTAGTTAACGGTGGACATGAAACTGAAATCAATGCAGTTCACAGGTATTCATAGAACCAAAATAAAATTCAGTGAAAACAGTCTGCATAGCAAAGCGGAACAGTTGATACTAGAATAAAAAAAAACTAAAAATTAATAAAATTTTCGATTTAAACATTTCTTCGATCTATATAAAAATAAAATAAAAATGTTCGTATATATTACTCAAACTTTCAGCTATATTTGCAATGTATGTAAATCCCTCGATAATCGTAGGGAACCATTTAAAGCTGGTGGGTGATCTAGTAAAGGTCAGAGAAGAAATCGAATATGTAAATTTTAATGCTCCAGTGTAGGAATTACCATAAGAGCTAATTAGTGAAATTATAAAGCAAATCAAAGATCCAGTAATAATTGCAAATGTAATGTTAGTAAACAGAACATGGCATAAAGAGGGAAGGCATCGATTATGTAAAGATAGGGATGAAATAATGGAATGGCTAAGAATAAAAAAGGTCGAAAAATTGGACACCACATTATATATTTAAAGATTAATAAGCTAGATGAATATATCAAGATTTATAAAAAGATTAAGGAAAGAATGCAGAATTAGGTAAGCTATACATGATTGCACAGAACATTATAATGAAGCAATGGGTAAAATTCTAGACGAAGATACATTTGATTTCTGATGATTATCATAGATTAGATGAGCAAACCAAACTATTATTTAATGATATACTACTTAATAATGCTAACAACAAATTCAATGATGAAAGAGAGCAGTTTGAGGATCACTAACATGTTAGTATAATTGCACATTTTGATAACATTTGAATGTAACTTGATTAATTAATTATTTTCGAAATAATTTTTCTTTTTTATGTAGAGACCATATTTTGAAACTCAATCTAAATTTGAATTAGACATTTAATTTTATAAATATATTCTCAAGAAAAATTTTTTGGCATATTTCCAAGCATTGGTTCACTTATCAATGGAATCTGAGAAAAGCTCAGTGTGCTAGCAAGATAGTTTCAAGAAATCCACCCTGTAAAAAATTTACTCCGTGATTAGTCAGTGTTTTTTCCGTTATTAAACTCAGTGTTTTTTCCGTTTATATTAATAAATATGCATGTCCATATTTTTTCCATAAATGTATCATATTCATGGAATATATAGTTCCGTTTTTCATTAAAAATGGAGGTTTCACTGAATAAAGTAATTAATAAAATGGATAAAACTCGGATAAATGACTGAGCATTTACTGAATAAATCAATTAATAAAATGGATAAATTCTTGAATAAATTTAATTAATAAACAAATTTTCAAGTGGTCTACTAAAGCAGTCAGTAGAGATTCCGTCCAACTTTCAATCCTGTACATTATTCTTTTTTATTCCGTGCACTTTTTATTTTTTAATTTTTGTATATATATACGAAATTTGAAAAGTTGATAGGCGGAGGCAGTCTGTACGATCTTTGATTCAATATTTTGTCCCATACAGAGCGTAATTTACTACAGAAGCACAGATGTACGGAATACGGAATCTGTATAGACTCCTACTAAAGATAACTCCTCAATTAATTGAGATTAGTTGCAGCTAGTGTTGGTTGCCAAAACTATTTTGAAGAGGCGAAAGTCAAAACTAAAATTAAAAGTTATATGTCAAAACTAAATCAAAAGTCAATAGTCAAAAATCAAAACTAGTTTCGACTTATGGCGAAACCTTTTGACTTTCGCACGGTTGCGAAACTCTCTAATTTTGGAAACCAACACTAGTTGCAGCACATGAAAATTGAATTGCGGTTGCAGTTGTGACTTATGAAAATGTAATTGCAGCTAATTGCGGTTCCCATCTTTAAATGTTACTAACGTAATGAAATGGTAAATTTTTGAAAGATTATTTAGTAATGCACATACAGAAACACGAAAATTTGTATGTGTTACATCACCCTTGTGATTTTGCAGCTTTGAGTTAACACCAGTCCATATTCTGTTTGAAGTTTTCCGTATCTCTGAACAGAATTGTAATTGATTTGAAAGTAATGTAAGTATTAAGACTAGACTAGAAAATTTTTTTTAAAATTGAAAGCATAAATAAATAGAAATCTTACTGCAGGCTGGTTTGCGTGTTCCCATTCTAAAAAATTATAGTTGATATATTCTTGTAATAACATTATACTATTAATTATTAATCACTTTTTTTAGAACCAGAAAGAATTGTTACATGACAATCAAATTAGTTATTATTATATTATTATTATATGTGATAACAATCCTTTCTGATCGTACACCACCAGATTTGAAAGTAATGTAAGTATTAAGACTAGACTAGAAAATTTTTTTTAAAATTGAAAGCATAAATAAATAGAAATCTTACTGCAGGCTGGTTTGCGTGTTCCCATTCTAAAAAATTATAGTTGATATATTCTTGTAATAACATTATACTATTAATTATTAATCACTTTTTTTAGAACCAGAAAGAATTGTTACATGACAATCAAATTAGTTATTATTATATTATTATTATATGTGATAACAATCCTTTCTGATCGTACACCACCAGATCTAAAAAAAGTGATTAATAATTAGTAGTATAATTGTTATTACAAGAATATATCAACTATAATTTTTGATGTTGAATTTTCTATCTATTTTCTAAAAATAATAAATAAGATATGGATGCATAACAATTCTTACTGATAGTACACCACCAGATCTAAAAAAGTGATTAATAATTGATAGTATAATTGTTATTACAAGAATATATCAAACTATGTTGAATTTTCTACCTGTTTTCTAAAATAATTAAATATGGCCACTTAACAATTCTTCTGATCGTGTACCGCCAGATCTACAAGAATATATCATAATTAATAATAAATAAAATATGATTTCGTTCAACCATTAACCTTTGGAAAAAGAAATACCTTTTAATTATTACATTCCTAAATATATATATAAAATATTAATATAAAAATAGGTACAAAAGTAAATATTGAAAAAAAAATCTTAACATTACTTGGGCTCATAAAACTATTTTTTTTTTTATGAATCTCTCTAAAACTAATTAATCAACACCAGATGAGATCTACAAAGCTTGGAAAACAAGTTTTGTAAAATATACTTGATGAATGCTTTATCTAGTTGTATGATAAACGAGTTTGATTATTTGAAATGCCATATAAGTATTTAAAATCCAAAAAAAAAACGCTCTTTACCTATTACCATATATTTTTGTATCTTGGTAAGTACTTGATTAAATTGAGTGATCTTAGATTCAAAAGAAAGCCTGAATTCTATTGTACATACTATTCAAAATTATTTATAGTTGATATTAGTAATGTTATTTAATATTAATTTTAAATCACAATTTGTTGACGCATTTTAATAATAATATATCTTTTATTTCTCTTCTCTTTTTTTGACAATTGTTGTATTATTGTTGTTTGCTCACATAATCTAATTATTTTAAAACGTAAAAAAATTTTAAACTGGATAAATATTATAAATATTCATAACAATATAATTATTTGCATTTATATATACTATACTTACATTTGGACGCGTCAAAAAATTTTACTATGTTGCAGATCATCCAATTATTTTACAACATGCGGAAATGTCATGCGACTAGTTAATTAATTATATACAGTATTAAAATAATAATATTTTCCGTGTGTTTCCATACTAGTGTATTAGTATGTTTTAATCAAGCTATATTTAACAAATAAAATATTTTGTAAGAAAAAAAAATGCCAATTTTTATTTGCGAGTTTATCAGTTACTTAATAATAAAAAGGTCTGTTTTTATTTGCGACTTTATCAGTCACTCAATAATATTCCAGAACTATAAAATCTTATTCTCACATTCCGTTTTAATTGCATATTTACAAGTTAATATAAATGACATCATGGAAAAAATCCGGATTGCTTACTTAATTGTGCTGCTTTTATAAAATAAACTGAACATTTACGGAGTGATAAACATGATCACGGAAATATTCTGGATGTCATTTTTTACAGGATGAAATCTACTGAATTGGTTGAATGATAAATTCTAAAAAAAAATAATTATTTAATTCATTATTAATAATAATAAATTATGTTCGGTGATCGTTTCATAAGAACTTTTGATATCAAAACTCAAAATGTTAATATGATATTTTTTACTTCGTATTCAAGATATAAAATAAATAGATCATCGAAATGATAAAAAAATTATGTGAATTATCGGTGTATCCTACGCAAGTACCCTGTTTTGGTCAATAATTCACGACAACGTGTATTGTGACTTAATTTTTACTGTTTTCTGGATGATAATATTTTAAAGAATGCTTAATAATTAAAAAATGTGCAAAAACTAAAAATTATTATAAAGATTGTCAGCTATTGATAATCACTATCCTCAATATATAAGAATAAAGAATATTATCCCTTATTTAACAATTATCATTTAATAGTATCTATTCAGAAAGATCTGTGAACTAGTTTCATCTAGTATGTCTATCATGCCAATTGTTAGCATATTTAGCATGCTATCTTACACCGTTGAACAACCAAGTATAGAGTGCCTGGTTGAACAAAAGAATTCTCAAAATGTATTAGTTATAGAACAACGTACATAATAATTGCACAATAAGTATTTAGCTTATGTTTTGAAGATCCATAAATTAATTCAAAAAATAGATTTCTATTGAATAAAGGGCATACTCCTATGAAATTTAGTGTTTCTAGATTTCTAGAACTTTACCAATTAAAAATATAAGAAATTCAATCATTTTTTGACGATTTGAAAAAATATTTTATCAATTCTTATTAACATTTTTATAAAATAAATTTTGCTGAAGATTTCATAAATTTAGTATTAAGGCTACATCAAGATCTCAGAAACCTATAATAGATGTTTCCAGCATGCAGACTAGCAAAGTTTATATAAAAAATTTCCAAAAGTTACTGGCTAAGATAGGTAAAATTAATTGTACTTTAAAAGATGTTCAAGTTTTTACAAGGTAAAATGGTTTTTCCTCGCAACTAATATAAGGGTAAAATTGTTAATTACTGATCCTTT